TCTTGACGTATCAATAGTTCCGCACATAACTGGATCAACTCCTCGAGTTCCGGTAGCGTTTGGGCACTGGGATCACATTAATAGTCTCTCGCTGGTCGACCCATCATATAATACACCTGGCCCAATTGACTTACTACTTGGAGCTGATCTTTTACCTTCAGTGTTCCTTGATGGCACTCGAAAGGGCCAAGTTGGTGAACCTCTCGCAATGAACTCTGTTTTTGGATGGGTGCTTATGGGCCCAACGGACCTTAATGACCGCTCTTCTGTTGCCACACTTAGCGTGAATATTTCCGAACCTATTGACTCGTTAATTAAAAAATTCTGGTAACTTGAAGAGCTATCCACCACTTGCCATTTGAGTCCAGCTGACGTTGCTGCTGAGAAAATATATACCTCCACTACAACTCGGTTAAGTTCAGGCAGATTTGTTGTCACACTTCCGTTTCTGAAACCACGTCCACTGCTTGGTGACTCAAAAACACTAGCTTTGCAACGGTTCAAGGCCCTAGAATGTCGTCTCAACCGCAACAAAGACCTGCAAGATCAATACGCTGAGTTCATGCGTGACTATCTGACGGCTGGTCATATGGAGTTGATTCCATCGTCTGAACAAAGCCACCCGTTTCATTATTATATTCCACACCATTGCGTGCTTAAGCCCGATAGCCTGACTACAAAGCTTAGGGTTGTATTCAACGCATCTGCAAAAACGTCAGCCGGTATTTCTTTAAACGACAGTATGTACACAGGTCCCAAACTGCAACCTGACATACAAGTTGTCCTCCTTCGTGCTCGACTTTGGAAATACTTATTTATGGCTGATATAAGGCAAATGTATCGCCAGATTCTCATCCAACCAGCCGACAGAGATTATTTGCGGATTCTGTGGAGATTCTCGTCCACATCTCCGATTGACGAGTACCGGTTATGTACTGTGACGTACGGCACCTCTGCAGCTCCCTTCCAAGCACTTCGCACTGTTCGCGAATTAGCGACTGTAGATGGTGCAAAATGGCCGATAGCTGCGTCTGTATTGTTGAATGACACGTTTGTTGATGACATCCTGACCGGAGCCAACTCAACAGAAACCGCTCTTAAATGCCAAACCCAATTAATAAACTTGTGTGCTATGGCGCAATTTCAATTGCGAAAGTGGGCCAGCAACAATAGTCAACTTCTTCAAACTGTCCCAGAAGAATTCCGTGCCATTTCACCATCTGTCCTGTTTGACAGCAGTGAACATTCCGACTTGAAGATACTCGGGCTGAAGTGGGACCCGGTAGCTGATAATTTTTCTTTCAAAGCTAAACCGACAGCAGTCATTCCAACGAAGCGTACAGTCCTTTCAGACATTGCTAGGATTTTTGATCCGTTAGGCTTGCTGTTGCCAATAACATTCTGGACCAAACATATCATGCAGCAACTTTGGATTGCTGGAATCAAATGGGATGAAGAAATACCAAAGGATATCGCTGTAATGTGGACACGATATCAGTCAGAACTGATGTTAATTGAAACCGTCTCTATTCCTCGTCGAATAACATTTGATGACGCCACGTCGATACAACTCCATGCATTTTCGGATAGTTCGGAAAAAGGATACGCTGCAGCCGTGTACCTTCGAACCATAACTTCTACATCAGTTCATTGTCACTTTGTGACCGGCTTGTCGAAAGTGGCGCCTCTAAAAAGATCTACGATTCCGCGACTTGAACTATGTGGTGCTGTCTTAGCCGCCAGACTTCTACGGTTCGTCATCGATACCTATTCAACTCGTATCAAAGTCGATAAACTCCATGCCTGGACAGACTCAACCACCGCTTTAGCGTGGATACAGTCGTCCCCTCATCGTTGGGCTACGTTCGTTGCTAACCGCACTAGCCAAATTCACGAGCTTACGTCACCCGACATTTGGAACCACGTCCCCACACATCAAAATCCAGTCGATTGTGCGTCTCGCGGCCTCTTTCCATCAGAACTTGCTACTCATCCGCTGTGGTGGACAGGACCTGCATATTTACTAGAATCTTCTGACAAGTGGCCGTCTGCTGTAGCCCGTGCACATACAACTGATGCTCACATTTCCACAGAAGCACGAAAATGTACCGTCCTCCTAACTACGACAAACTGCTCAATTAGTAATGTTCTACAACGTTTCTCATCTTTAGACAAAGTCCTTCATATTATAGCCTATTGTCTTCGGTTCTCCAAATCCAGTCCAGTTACTTCGTACACACACCTTATTGATGCTAGGGAACGATCCCATGCCTTATCGGCCCTAGTTTTTTACGTTCAACAAACGTCATACCCCGATGACATTTCGTCCATAAAAAAAGGGTTGCGTTGTTCTCCCTCCATTCGGAAACTTGATCCGTTCATTGACGACCATGGACTTATCAGAGTGGGCGGACGTCTTACTAACGCTGACCTGCCATACGCTCACAAACATCCACTGCTGTTACCGTGTCATCATCGCTTAGCTGTGTTACTCATTGACCATCATCACCATAGGCTAAAACATCCAGGATCTATAGCCCTTCAAGCTCATTTGCAGCGTGAATTCTGGATACCTTCGGCACGAAAACTTATTCGATCTCGCATACGACTCTGTATCGCATGTTTCCGTACCCGGCCACGGTCAGTTCAGCCTAAAATGGCCAGTCTGCCAAGTTATCGAGTTCAACAAGTTAAACCGTTTGCCATCACTGGTGTGGACTACGCTGGCCCTATCACGCTGAAGGAAACTCGTGGTCGTAAATCCGTACCTAAACTAGCGTATTTTTGTTTGTTCATATGCACCACTACAAAAGCAATTCACTTAGAGCTGAGTTCTGACTTGTCCACCGAATGTTTTTTGATGGCGTTTACTCGCTTTTCAGCCAGACGTGGGCCCATTAAATAAATGCACAGTGACTGCGGGACCAACTTTATTGGAGCGTCACGGTTGTTGGATCCCCTTCATGCACTTACGCATTCCCGAATATTTCAAGACAGTGTTCATCGCCACCTTGGCAATCATCATATAACATGGCACTTCAATCCTCCAGCATCTCCACATTTTGGTGGCTTATGGGAAGCAGGAGTCAAGTCCACTAAATCTTTAATCCTTCGATCAATTGGCATCCACAAACTGACCAGTGAAGAATTCCTAACACTTCTCACCCAGGTTGAAGCGACCTTAAACTCACGCCCATTATGTGCACTAAGCAACGACCCAGATGACTTCGAAGCGCTGACACCTAGTCACTTTTTGACTCTAGAGCCTTCTACTTCACTCCCTGACCCTAATCTAGTCAATGTTCCGATGTCGAAATACCAACGATGGCGATTAATTACAGATCTACACCGACATTTTTGGACACGATGTAAGAACGAGTACCTTAGTAGTCTTCAAATTAGGAAAAAATGGTCTGCACCTGGTCAGGAACTCAGTATTGGTGACCTTGTCCTTGTCAAGGAGGCGACACATCCTCTTCGTTGGCGAACTGGAAGAATCCGTGAACTCCATCCTGGCTCAGACGGAATCTCCAGAGTGGCCACCCTCGACACTTCATCTGGACCATTGAAACGCCCAGCGGTCAAGCTCTGTCCACTCCCAATCTCTTGAAGGGATTCCTTCAAAGTGGGCGGTGATGTTCGCGCCTAATAATTGGCGATACGAGATCGTTGCCGTTGTGCCGCGACGTCGACCGTCCTTTCCTTATCATCTCTCGTTTCCACCGACACCTCTCATTAATTAAATGTGTATTATTATTATTTTCGTATTTATTATAATTATCAATGTTCTTTGTCCGTTAGTATTGTATATCCTCTGTCTTTGAACGTGATTATCATTTTGTGTAATCATATATATTTTTTCTCTGTTTACTTTATACGGCCAACGCCCCTGTTTTTGTTTTTATTATATTATCTTATACTGCGTTTTTTTTTTTTGTCATATACCAGCTTCTACAAAAAGTTGTATCGCTCTTGTTTTTTGATCCGCTATTAAAGCGATCTATATATTATTATGTATTATTCACTACAACAGTGAGCACCAAATCTATATTATATACTTAATTATTTTGCAATGTGCACCTGGTTGCTCACTGTTATTATTATTATATTTTGTGTTGCTGTTATACCATTATCCAACCAATAAAACTCGATCTCTTACCCAAGCTGAATGCGTAAGTCTCTTTTCATTATTATTCTCATCACTGTATTGAGCGAGTCGTCCGCGTAAGTCCGCCAGCAACATCCGTTGTGTGAGAGGCCGCCTAGGTCTTCAAGATTCAGTTTTCCGAGCTGCGTCGTCGGCAGTGTATCACCGTCTCCGGATTTCCGTAATTTGTAGTCATCGTACTGAGCGAGTCGTCCGCGTAAGTCCGCCAGCAACGTATGTTGTGTGAGAGGCCGCCCAGGTCGTCCAGGTCACCGTCGGTTCCGGTCAACAGCACAAAACTTCAGTATAGTTAAGATAGCTTTAAGTATTGTCCCTGTTTCTTGTGAGCTCTGTGGTCATTGCACCAGACCGAATCGACCACAGAGACCCCCTACCCATAATTAAATTGAACCATCCTAAATCCATAAATAGGTCTATCCCATCCTTGTTGTCGTCGTGTATCTATAATTGCCTATCCCTAGATAATAAGGCGTAGGTATATTCAGTTGCCTATTTCTTAATTAGTAGGCACCATTGCAAAAGGCACAACTAGTGATAATCTTGTCTCGGTTGTCATCGAGTGGTCCTTCGGGTAGCCCCTATTGTTGGGCGCGAACAGTAATTGAGTATCTATTACAGTATGATTAATTTCTTCATTACTTTGCATATTCGGTAGATTTGCAGTACAATTGAATTGTAATTGAGGAGTTTTCTTCTTTTCCAAATTGAGAATTTTTTTAAAATGCCTAGATGTAATAGCTCCCAAACTTTTCTTCTTTCGAGCAGTTGTCTAAAATAAGTTAAGCACATTAATTATAATACTGTTGACTTTATTAAGAAATATCAAAAATCTGCATATTATAAATGATCATACATAATATTTTATGGATATATTAAAGATACTATTTACTACCCAATACCACGGGCGTATATAAATTGTGTACTAACACTGAACATTTTATAATAATATGATTAAAAGAAAAACAATTTAAAATACATTTAGCTTTAGTTCAGTTTTGTAGATTTTGAAGACCTCAAAAGTCTTGTGTTTGAGTTTCTAAACCAATCTGCCACTATTGTTTCAACCTCTGAATCTGATACTACATCTCTTTTCATCATAGAGCAGATGACTTCTTTAATTACTTCTATTAATAAAATAAAATTTTAGAATGCAATAATTAGGTACATATACTAATATACCATCTTTTCGTTAAATAGATTTTTTTACTTTTTATGGTTTTGAGAACCTCAGAATCGCCAATTTTAGTTAAAACATCTTTGCCTCTTCCAGTCATTGTACATCGAGTTGCATAATTATCATTAAACAGTTTTCCTAATGTTCTTTTTACATAATTTTTCAAATTACATCCTCCAATGTTCTTTATAAAATACTCCTACACAAATAAGTTAACGTTATGGATTACGTAAGAAAAACTTAGATCTATACTTAAAGTATATAATATATAAATGTTCATACCAGTTTATCTTTAAATGATTTATCATTTGTAATTAATTGTTCAACTTTTAAAAACATATTAGCATTTTGCATAGGGAAATGGTCACAGAAACTTGAATCCAGATATATAGGTTCTGACAAATTCTGTCTTCCTGTTTGGAGTTCATTTCCAGCAGTTCTATTTTATATAAAATTCTTTCTTGTGTCAATTTGATTATACTTTGATCTCTAGCCAGATTGTTTAATGTTTCCATTATACTAGACATAGTAACTCCTAATAATAATAGTAAGTAAAAATGGTTACTTTTAAATAATATAAATTTTAAGCTGGTACATGGTGACTATTATAAAGCAAATCATGTTTACCATCAAAGACCGGCGAGGAAGTGTAATGTGACTCTTGGTTGGATTGATTTCCTAATAATAATAGGGAGTGAAAATGGTTAATTATTTTAAAATATGAATTTGAAACTGATCGATAGAAAATATTAAACAGCAAATTATGTTTACCATTAAAAATTGGTTCGGAAGTATAATGTGTTCTTAACTGTGGCTCGCCGATGGAATTACTAGTAGTAACTGTTGATCCATAACTCTAAAATATTAATTATTTAATAAACCATAATGACAGATTGGCCCTATTTTTTTGTTTTTAACTAATAAATTAATTTTTGATCTTTATAACAATTTATTTAGGGTGTATCAAAAAAACATTAAATATTAGGTCAGATCCGCTAAATTCAGTAGGGAAATATATTATAGGTAGCTAATTTTTTTGAAAATGTTTAAAGATTTATATTTACCGTTTGCGGAAATACATTTTGATTGTTAGTGTAACTTGAATTTGAGACATTTTCCATGTCTGTGTACACATTTGATGACATGTTACCGCTTGTGGACATTAAACCTGACATCTAGATCAAATAGGATTATATAATTATTAAATAAGTAATTTATGTATACCTAATGTATATTATATATTATATATATATATATATATAAAGTAATAGATTAATAAATTACCAAGTTACTAGTAGCTGCAGCTGGCATAACATTGAAAGTATCATCATCTAAAAAAAATATATATTATATATCAACAGGTCTTGTAAAAATAATTATTAAATTTACCTATTTAAATAGATACAAATAGTCAAACAGGTATGGGTACACCAATCAAATATAACTATATAAGTTTTATTTTATTATCTAAGTGATGTTTAATATAATTATTAAAGTATAGAGTAATAATATATTATAATACATAAAAATATTATTACTTTTTATTTACAATTTACAATATTTCTTATAAAAATATAATAGGCATACGCGCAGAGAGCTGAATTTATATGGGGGGAGGGGGCTATACCCTATAATAATGATTCGGGTACACAAGTGATTAAATGGACGTATGCAATATTACATTTTTACACAGTGGGGCTAAACGGAATTCAGGGGGGGGAACTATATAGAGAAAATAAGTGGGTGGCTTTTTGTACTTTAGGGCCGGTTAAGAATGTATGCTGCACCCGACAAAAAATCCTGAGCATGCCTATGCTCATATATACTATGAATTTTACTTTTATACATACATTTAAAATACTATAAAAATATATAAGAATTTTAATTTTAGTAAAAAGTACTTGCCTTCAATTTCGCTTTCTGCAGAGTCTGGTATAAAATTAACTTTGGATTTTTTTGATCTTGTAGGACCATCTTCACTTTCTGTTGCACATTTAACATAATCGATTTTCTTATGCCATGCTTTACTGAAGTTATCTAAATAATTTAAAATAATATAGATAAATTATGTGTGACATACCTTTAAGAAGTATTTTTATTTATTTTATATACATGGCTACAGCGGCGGAGTGGATCTAAATTGCATGTCAAGCAAACATATAGGTATTACAATCCACTTTTCAATTTTACCTTTACTAGTATTGATATACGATGTATAAGTTATTAAAATGTTATAGGTACCTATTATTATTGTTTATTTTAATGTTCAATTTAAGCATTGGTTTAAACAATAATTATTAATTATATTACCTAATTAATTATATTATATTATTAATAAGTTTTAATTCTTACTGACAAAAAGAAAAACTGGAGAAGTAATTTTGCTGTATAGAAAGTACCTACTACCTAGTGTCATTGAGTAAGTCGCTGTAATAGAGCATTGGATACGTTAAATTTGAATCCAACGATAAAAATGAAAAATGATTCTGCTCGGAGGTATATTTTGTATAATACCTTATACATGTAACATAATATGTCTTATATTATTATATGTGTCTAACAT